CGGGAATTTATTCCCGGTTTATTAAAGAATAAAACAGTTTTGGTGATTGTGGTAACATTTCAGTGGTTATTAAACTCTTAAGAAGTATTTGGTGCAATGCTAAAAGGGCTGTAATGAATGGTTGAGACAAAATTCCCGTACGATTGACACAATAATACTACTATTCACAATATTTTAATTATTTGCTRCCGTAGAATGCTCTTCAGATTTTTTACCTTTATCGAATTTCCCTCAATAGACGATCGTBTTATCTTTAAAGATAGGTATGTCTAGATACTGTGAGACAGGATAGAAAACTGATAGAATAGAAAATATTATATTYGACTATGAAGTGAAACCATGTTGACCTGCAGAGTAACAGTAGACTGATGATGCGAAGTGTCACGCACCCTTACATGTAGTTCCTCGACTGAACTACTACAGTATAAATATATAATGCAATTCATGTTTAGATATTTTGAAAACTGTTAAGCCATCTACATTGAAAAATATTTTGTGAACTACCTGGAGTTATTTCATTGTTTCTGTTATTTACATTTTATGTTTCTGATTTGGAAACGACCTCTGGAAGAATTTTGCGCGGCACGGACTCACATATTCATCCATAAATACATCAGATATTAATAAGAATAATGCTAAAAAATTTATGACTTAAAGGGTGTAGGTWCATATAGTGCTCAGAGTTACTGTATGTGAAATCTATAAGTTTTTGAAGCTAATTTATTACACTTGATTCTGAGCGTGACAGCCTAATATGAGGTTTTCCCTAGGTTGCGTTTAACTTCTCGCTGCTTTCCTTTTTCTTAAAATAATTCAAAAATAATATCATTCTTGAAGTCTGAAGTAATTAACATCCTCTAACCAGAAAAATGAGGTCTTTTGAAAGCGTATAAACGGCAAATTGGTCATAAATACCAGTGAAATCTAGAGAGAATGAGGAAACATCTAAACCCAACTTACTCCTCTTACGTCACAGCCCAGTCCTCTAGGTTATCATTTTACGCGGCCAGAGTCAAAGAAATGCCTATTTTCGCACTTTTGACCGCTCGAAAAAAATAGAAAGAAGGGTCAGAATCAAAAAATTCTTTCGACACGTTTCTTAGAATAGCTTATATTTGGATATAAAAAAGTAAAAAAAAAAAGGGTGATAGGCACTTTAAGACCGTAACAAAGGGCATCTGCTAAATGTTTCCCTTCTACATTTTGATTAATTAGCTTGTACCAGATGTGCATCAATGGCACTATGTTCAAGTGATTATGAAAAGGATGGAGCTAGCATACCATCAAATGACAGGAATTATCATCTATGCATGCTCTAGTTCGTGGACTTCTGTATTTTATGACAGCCCAACTAGAAACATTAATTTGATAGGTAGTTACAAGGATATCTAGCGAGAAGATGGCAAGGGTCTCTAAGGATTTAAGACAAGGATTTCTAAGAATTTTAATTTTAGTAGGAAATAATTTAAACCATTTTACGAACAACTTCTAGCTTTCTAGTCCATTTAAGTCTAGAAATTATCTTTATGATATAATATAACTTTACATAATATGTAATAATAATAATAATAATAATAACAACTTTATTTCAAGAGGGTAAAACACATAACAGATACGCAAGGTACTGATAAACTAGTGGCCCTCAAATAAAACTTAAACTTTTTGTAGACTTAATGACTTACCATCAACGCCAAACCCATGCATGATTTCATGACTAGAAAGTAAACCAAAATTTCCCAAGGTATAAGCTCTGTAATTAAGAAATTGCACATAAACATATAAAATTTAAAACTGATCCAGTAGTGCTGAAAAATAGTGCAAAATCGATCCATGGGATTTAGGAGAATATTTGGTTTGTGACGGGGGAAAAAAACTTAAAAATCGTTGTCGTCACTGTATGGCGGCAAAGTGTTAATTGCTGTCGGATAATTACCACTTTATGCGTAACGATGAAATTTTAACAAATTGTACTACTCAGCAGTCTATAGACCCCTTGCATACGACGTCACGAATCACGTGATTTTTTCTCCTGGGGGACAACCAGACGCCATCTTTCTTGTAGTGAATGCTGAACTTGTCCTAAATATGATTCATTTTGCGCTGTTTTTGGTTGTTCGAATCGTTCAAACAGAGAAAAAGATGGAAGTTATCGTATCGTATATTGTAACGGCCAATATACTCCAACTTCCATGTGTATCGTTCCTTTGCTTCCTTTTGATTTAGATTATTCAAGTAATCTGGTAGAAAAGCTTTCCCATTAGTAGAATTTTTCGATTTACAGACGCTAGACATGTTCAATAGGCCCAACGCAGCTCAGTAATCACGTGCTTATTAATTCACTGAGAGCAAATGAATGAACATCTTGATTCCCATGTGTGAAATATACTGGTGAGCAAACAACCTTTCTATAACCTGTTTCGAGAGATCGTAATAAAGCTGCATCTCGTAACACACTGGTTACACATCGTTTCATTCAGTTCTTTATAAGTAGCTAAAAAGAATCACCAATTTAAAATAATAAAAAAAATTTGCTCACAAGTACAGAAATGTGACCGTTAGCTGCAAAGGGACTATTTCCCGTGTCTTCCCTATGTAAACAAAGTCTGGTTGTCCCCCAGGACAAGCGTAGCAACGGTTGCTAACGTAAATGTGACGTCAGTACAAGGGGTCTATTATATTTTAATAGTGGGTAATGCATATTTACCGGCAAAGTTATAATAGTTTTCTTATTCGGTCGCCATATGCATCATTTTCGAAAAAAAGAAAAACTCGAATGCGTAAACTTCAAGGACACGTAAATTTTAACCTCTCACTTTATTTCAACGAGCTAATATGCCAGGGGGGGGGGGGGGGGGGGGGGGGGGGGGGGCAGTCACAGGGTGCCCGTAAACCCCCCTTTCAAAGCCAAAAAAATCTAACCTGCCGTTGATGCAGTGTGTGAAGATTTGTTTAGACTTAACTTAAGCAGTTAAGAAAATCAGTTTTCTCGCGTCTGGGAGCCGTCTTTTACCTTTTCTTTCCCCTCTATCGACCATGATTCTTTTTCGTCAAAACAATTGATTGCTATAACGTCATAYTGACGTCATATGACGTCATTATGACAATTTGGTATGTAAGGATCCCCCCAATTACAAATCCTGGATACGACCCTGTATGCTTTAGCTATATGCTGTTATCCAGAACCGAAAGAATTCTCAAACTTCCGATTTAGCTGATTACTTTGATTAAAAAAAGAAGAGCAGTGTAACAGAAACTATAAAAAAAAAGATCAAAAACAATATATGGAATGAACTAAATACACTTGCAATTTCAACTTACCTTAGGAATTTGCTGGTATATAATGCTGGTGGCTGAAGATAGACAGTTGAGAGAGCTTTTTTGAATTAAAAACAAAGCTGGAATCAGTGGATTACTCAAGGTAAATTTCAACTTTAATGTAAGTGTAAACTACTTACTAATTTCATTATCTATAAGATCGTACTCGGCTATTCCTTTAAGAGGAGACATATACCATCTGAAACAAAGACAATGTATAAAATATCAACAAGACAACGACAACAACAACGACAACAAAAACAGCAGCAACAACAGAAACAACAATAACAACAAAAACTAACAGCAACAACAACGACAACAAAAACAGCAGCAAC